ATGTATTTACAAATAATTTCTGCACGTTTTATTTCACATGTTCTTCATTTTCTTGCAATTGTGCTCTGTCTTTGGAGTTATGTAGGTGTTATAAATAACTAAATAAATTTTGAAAAATCTTTTTCTTATTTTTAAGGAACGTAATATCTATGGCTGTAATGATAATGGATCATATAAGTCTTATCAAAATCAGTAAAATTGAAAACATATAATTTTAGTTTTTCTATATCATCCTTTTCTTTTTTGTTTTTTTGTTTAGATTATATGTTGCACATTCATTATCAATTGCATTTTGTGTATTTGAACTAGTGCCATTAATTATTGGAATAACATCAATAAATTTTGCTCGTTCATTTTTAGGTATGTGAAATAAATATGATATACACTACTGATCAAAAGTATGCCTCTCTCTCTCCCTCTCGAACTCAATGATTTTTTTTTTTTTTTGTTCATAAGTACCATATTGTCTTCTAATAAAAATTCTAAAAGGATTTGAGTTTCTATTTTTTCATTTGAAACTTTGTGTATATAGAGAACTCAACTAGATTGATTTCTATTAAAAAGAAAACTCAGAAGTATCGAATAGAGTATCTTCGAATTATGAGATTTTCAAGATGTAGACCCATTTCTACATGGATTGTATATAACATGTTTTTTTTGAAAGTTGCATATCTCGAAGAGAGTATGTTGGAAAATTCTAAATATTTTTATGGAAACTATTGCCCATTCCAAAAAAGAAGGCGGATGGGTATTTTTTGAATAACTTCTGAACGGATTGAGTTAGATGGCTGCGGTTTTCACCATTGGAAAGAGGACCTGAAGACGCATCGAACCATGTATAAAAACATTTTTCTGGCTACTTTCCTAATATTTTTACATTGAGCTTCTAGAAGAACAGCGTGTCTCTCATGGTCGTGAGATGATTGTATTGATTTTCAAGAGTGTGCTTGAAGCGCTACAAAATTATATAAACACTGTATTCCTAACCACTACCAGTAAGATATCCTTGCCATTGGAATGCAATTTACGACCCCATTTTTTCAACAAAATAATCGAAAAATTCAAGTTTTTGTAGTTTTTTGACGAAAAATCAAGTATGAGAACAAAGCAATAGTTTGAAAATGTTTGCCTAAAACTGTTAGAAAAGTAGTCAGAAAATTGTTTTTATATATGGTTCGATACGTCTTCATTTCCTCTTTCCAATGGTGAAAACCGCAGCTCTCTAACTCAATCCGTTCAGATGTTATTCAAAAAATACCCACTCGCCTTCTTTTTTGAAATGGGCAATAATTTAGTTGAGTTTTTTTTAATATGTACACAGTTTCAGATAAAAATTCAATCATACAAGTTTACTGAAATGTTCGGGCCGCTAGAAAATAGACATATTAAAAATTCAATAACTTAGTCAAATATCTATAGGCGAAAATCATTGAAATCAGAAGAGAGTTGCTGTAGAGATTTTATCATTAGCTTCAATAAGACTTGAACGTCTGAAAATTCGTTTGCAAACAATTCATAGATAATATATATCAACAGTATCATCAACTACAAAGTCGTTTGAGCTAGAAAAAAATCATCATAGGTAGTTTCCATAATCATTGTGAATCAGAAAGAAACTTCTTATTGAATAGACATGATCATTCAGTTGTATATCTATAAAGAGAAAGTTTTCGTTGAAAATACCATAATGAATTATGGCGTATAAGTATACAATTTGTATAACATTATCGAAATATCATATTTTCAAAAACTATAGTAGATAATTATTAGACGTTGCAATGCTTTTATCTAACATAATAGATTATCTGTGAACTACTTGCAAAAGAAGTTTTCAAACGTTCAGCTTATGTTGAAGCTAAAATCCGTGGGATAGTTTTGATCAGTAGTGTCAATAACTTATTTTATTTTATTTAAAGCAATGCTTGTTCATTTATCTGCTGCTATTGGTCTTGTATTTTTTCTTCTACAACATCAATGTGCTTTACGTATTTGGCCAATATTTGCTATATGTAGTTGTGTACCATTGATAATTGAATATACAGCAGCTATTTATAAAATTGTTCGTCAACGTTTATAATAAACTTTAATAAAAATAAAAAAATTTCTTTTTTGTTAGTTTTACTTTTTTTCTTTTCGTTATTAAGGTCATTTGTATGTTGTATTGAGTTCAATAATAGAGAAAACATTTATCGAGGCCCATGCGAAGCAATATTAACTTATGCGTTTTTTTTTTTCTTTTTTGGTTTCTGAAAAGAAGGGCAATTGTCTAATCAAAGTTCATTTGCTGATTGGTTCACCTACTGTTCCGTTTCTTTCATTTTTTTTTTTTTTGTTTAAAGAATCGATACCTTAGAAATGTTATGAACTTAACTATATATATATCTACGAACTATTGTTTTATAAATTTTTTGTTTTTGGATTTATATTTTTCAAAAAAAAAAAAAAAAAACTATAAAAATAGATGACTTAAAAGACGAAGATATACCTTCAAATAATTCCTATGAAACATTTGACTGACGAACTTGTTTTTTGTAAAATAAAGAATGTGCGCAGTTTTTTTTTTAAATATCTCAGTAGCAGCTAATAATTATTATAATTGAGTACTTATCTTATTAAACAATTCAATTTAATTATATAAATTGCAAAGATTAGATAGAGATTATCAAGATTTAGTTTATTGTGAGAGTAAACTATAACTTAACAGAAAGTAAAAAAAAAGTATTCTACGACTTGATCTATTGTGAAATTTTTGAACAATCTTTTTTTGTTTCAAATAAAATAAATGTCATTAGAAAACTTGTCAAATTCTCAAGACGTAATTAAACAAGACAGAATAGATTGAGTTAAGCATACGTAATAAGAATGAATATCAATATAGAGAATATGAAATTAAAGTTCAAAGAAATATGATTTTCATCAATTTCTATATTTATTCGTTATTCCACTTTAAATTCTTCTTCACTTATTGCATGTCAATATCGAAATTCACACCTTCTTGTCTAGCTATAAAAAAATATTTCTTGACTAGAATTCAATATCGAATTACGACCTATTCTTAAAAAAACATTATTTAAATTTTTTTTTTTTTTTTTGTGCTATATGAGACAAATTTCATTTATGACCTTCTTCTTCTTTTTATTCTATTTATGATATCCTTCATGTAGATTTAACAATAGAAAGATAAACTGAAGTATCATCTATATATGCATATATAACATTTTGTCTTTAGTTCAAACGAAAATTTTTATTACCATACAATAACCTTGTTTAGAATATAGAAATCATTAATTGTTAATCCTCATGGACAGTTAAATTGTATAAATTACCTTCACATTCATATATATAAAAGCTCATTCTCATATTGATTTAATACGTAGTCGAGTTAAGTAATCATTTTTTTTTTCATACATTATGCTGTTTTTTTTTTCTTTCGTTTCATGTTTACAATAAAATATTTTCAATGAAACCTTATTTTTTTTTCAAAAAAAAAACTAGGTATGATTAAGACTCGTTTTTCGATGTTATATTAATACATTCATCGTTCTTTCTCTCATCCGTTATATTTCAATGACTATTAAAGAGTAAAACATCGTCTGACAACGACGTGATGTTGTCTCTACTCTTCACCTTTGTTTGCTTGAGAGAACATAACAGAGCTTTTGTTGCTTTTAAGCTCTTATATATACATATATATCTCGTAGGACAACGAGAAAAGTATATACACATTCACGTATTGGTTCGAAAAAAGAGAGAACAATATACAAAAAAAAAACGAAAGGGTCATATTGAACATGAAGAATAATGGCGAGAAAAGAAGTAAGACAAAAAGTAAAGAAATTAGTCTCCTCCTTGTTGATTTAATCCCACAACTAACAGTTTGAAACACGTAGAAAAATGAGAGTGAAGAGTAATTAGTATGACTCCTTCTTTTTATATATATATATATATGGTTCGATTATGAAGCCTAGACTAATCCTTGAGGTGGGCTATCGAACCTCTTGTCTTTTTCTTCTTTTATTTAGTTATCAAATTGAACGCGTGCTTCGATCATTTGATATCTTTTCATTTACTATTAATACAAAATCTATTTTCTGCAGTTCATTTTTTTTTTTTGATTTTTTCGCACTTATTTTTTTGTTTACATGTTTTTCATTTATTCATATTTTAGAAAAAGAAAGAAAAAGAAATATGTATTTTACATATTTCTTTTTTTTATGTTAAAATGCCATCATTCTTCCCATTTTTTTTTTGTTGATGCGGTTGGCTTTAGTAAAAATACAAAAAATAATCACTAGTAAGAAGGTAATTGATGGATAGGTACCACTTAAAAGTGGTGAACAACAGACATTCTATACGTATTCATATGCATACTTATACGTATACTCATATTAAGTAGTTCGAAATATATGGCAGTAAACTTTTTTTAGGCGTCGCCTTTTTTTTTTTTAACTATTCTGTCTCTGTTTGTCAGACGGTTTCGATTAAAATATTTGACATCCAACAGAACATGAAGTTTATTCTTGTATAATTTTTACGATCACAGACGAAAAAGAAAAAAAAAAGGAAAGAAGTTTTTTTTTTTAATGCTATTTTGAGATCTTAGCAATGATATAGTAATATGTAAATGATAACAACCTATTTCTTAGTTATTTTTATCAAGTAAATGTATATAAATAGCAAAAGAAAGAAAGAGAGAGAGAGAGTAGTAATAACAAACGATTGGAATGCGTTTATTTAGCAGTAAATTCTATGCACTGTCAAAGGAGTTGACGATGCATTATTTTGAAAAGAAAGAAACGAAACGTCAAACATTTTTTTCTCTTTCGCTGTCGTCCATAAGTGATCAATATACCTTTTCTTCCTTTCTCTTTCTTTTAGATGTAAATATATATATTTGATAGGCAACAAATAATAAAATTATCCGTCGTTAGTCTTTAAAACATTAAAACGAATGAATATAATTTACAATCGATAAATCAATAGAAGAGTAAGAAGGCAAAATGTCGCGTGTTGCAACTAACAATTCAACACCGCGTTATAATAATGGTGTTGGACAATCAAAACCTCCAAGTAATAAAAATAGTATGGGTAATGGTGGTGGTGGTGGTGGTGGACATGGTATTGCTGTACGTAGTGCAGCACCACCACTTATACAAAAAGAGACTGTACATGCTTGCCTTGTTTGTAATGGTGAATACAAAGATCCTCGAGTATTACCATGTACACATACATATTGTTTAAATTGTATTCGAGATAAATTGATGAATAATAATCGAGTTATTTGTCCTAAATGTCAACAACAAGTAAGTTTGATTAATATTTTCTTTTTCGTAGAAATGAATTTTTTTCTGTCGAAAAAGAAAACATCATAATGAAACAAAAAAATGAAGTTTTTAATGACTAAAAAGAAAAGAAAAAAAAAAGACCTTCCTCTCTTCAAGACATTAAAGATAAGAATACTTATAATTGTCCTCGAGCTTTTTGTAAGTAAGCATCAGCAATCATAAACTAGTCAACAAAAAAAACGAAAAAGTATTGAAGTTTCTTGTTTTCATTTGATTCTTTTCTTTACTTTTTTCTTTTTTTTTTTTTTTTTTATTGCAACATACATCTACTTAAATAGATATACTTTCGATATCAAGAACTATAAATACATATATATATATATGCTTCCGTTCTTTCGTGTATTTTTTACAACGACATAACAACAGAAAAAAATATACACACATACACAAGCAATTTTCTTCTAGGTTGACGATATTGATCTCAATGATTTACCACGTAATATTATTTTAAGTCAAGAATGGCGTATGAATGTTCAACCTATAACATCAGTTCCAACACCTAAAAAACCTGTTACATATCAATCAATTATATCAACACCAACACAAATGTCCAATCAACAAGATAAACGTAAATCAAGTATAGCCGAAAGTAATGGTCATAATTCATCAACAGGTGGAACAAAATCCTATGGAATTACTTCACTTGTTAATGCATTTAGTAGACAATCTGGAACAAATGGAAAAACTAGTGGACGATCATCTCGTTCATCAAGTAAATCTAGTATACAACAACCAGTTGTATTGAATTTAGTCAAAATTTATTCTGAAGCTACATTAACACGACCACTAGAACAACAAAGAAGTGATAGTGTTGTATCAACAGGAAAAAGTGATGAATTAATAAAAATTTTTGAACAAGCAACAAATCGTTCACAACAACAACAACAACAACAACAACAACAACAACAACAACAACAACAACTACAACAACAACAACAACAACTACAACAACAACAACAACGAACACCATCAGCATCAATTAGTAAACGACCATCACAAGCACGTGAAGAATCTTATGAAGAAATGACATGGGATACTCTTGTACATGGGTATATTGATTTTAAACGAAAAAAAAAAGAAAAGAAATGATCATGTTTCTTTTTTTTTTATTGTAAAATAATTTATTTTAGAACTGTTCCAATAGCTCCTCCATTTCCTGATCAATGGCATAAAGCAACAGAAAATCTTCATTATCCACCAGAAGCACCTGAACGACCAATATCAGTTGCAGCATCTGATCGAAGTTTAAATGTAGATAATCTTCATAATATAATTGCATCTATAAATGAACATACACATGAACGAATTCCTCCATCATTTCCTCAAGGACAACTTTCATCTTCTCAATCACATAGTCGTCCTTCAACTTCTTCTCGTTCACAACATGATTTTGATGATGATGATGATGATGATAATCATATGCCTATACAACCATCAACTTATGCTAGTATACAACCACGACAAATTAATCGTTTAGGTAGTCGTGCCGATAGTATTCAAAGTAGTTCTACTAGTTCAACAATAAGACATTCTCCAGCTCCACCAATAATAAATACTTATCAACCAAGATCAAGTGTTGCATCTACTCCACAAAAACAACAACAACAACAACAAGCTCATAAATTGCCTTCTCGTAGTTCTTCAACAACTTCACCATCGGGAACATCTCCAGAACGTTCTCCACAACACATTATTCATACACTTGATTTTACTGTTGATGAAGCTCTTAAACCACGATCTCCATCACTTATTTCACTTCGATCAGCAGGTTCTGATGATGCCAATGAAAAAATACCTATCGATAAAGTAAATCATTTCTTTGTTTAACTTTCTCAAACATGTAATTCAGTATTGAAGATAGGAAAAGAATGTCACGTTTCTAATCTTTTTCGTTATAGAATTTAATAATTCTAAAGAGTCAAATCAATTCAAATTAATAATATCTACTAGTCATTTTACAGTATAATGTACTCCACAGTTTTTTTTTAATAACTTTGTATAAGAACACCATACAGAACTGCGGTTTTCACCAGTTAAAAGAGAATGCCCGAGGCTATCGACCTATATCAAAGTTCGAATTGACAGCAAATGATAGATAAAAATCGATAGAAGAGTTTCTTCTCTTTCGATCTACATAAGGCTGGCATTCTTAGTTTATGTCAGTCGACAGTTATAAGACTTTTTCTGTAGTCACTCGGAAAAGCAGCTAGATAGAGGTAATTCAACGTGTTGAGTCATTTTTAGGTTCAAAATAATATGACTCCGCTATCTCAATATTTTTAGAATTTCACCATCGACTTCCACATGTAACAAAGGAATCGACATTTTAGAATTGAACCTAAAAATAAATCTCACCATTCGACTCAATACAGTGAATTACCCCTATCTAACTATTTTTCCGGATGATTACAAGTTAATCGACTGAAATTGGAGATCTCACAAAAAGTATTATAATCATCGAACAGAAAAGGCACAACATGTCAGATTTGTTTAATTCGAAAAAGAAGAATCTCTCTTCTATCAAACAGTTCTGTTAAAGATATAAATCAATAAGAAAAATCGTAGATCTCAATAATGTTTCGATTGAAAGTTATTCGAAAAATATTGAAGCAATATTATATTTTTATTTTATAAATCTAGACTAATTTATCATCAACAGAACGCTTTAAAGCTCCTGCTGCCAATATTCCACCTCTTACTCAAACAAATAATTCATTACGTGCTCATTCACGAACAAATAGTGGTTTATCGACACCAACAAATCGATCAGCATCAAGATCTATGGAACGTGATACACATTATCTTGTTCCAACACCACCATCAACAACAACAACAACAGCTGTATCATCACGTGTTGATTTATTATTATCAGATCAAAAACGTTTAGAACGTGAAATAGATGAACAAATTAAACGTTTAAAATATGATTATGATGATATACGTAAACAAATTCATCGTAAAGAATCTTCAATACATCATGAAGTTAAAAATTTAGCTGCAAATTTTGATGATAATATAACAGAACATTATCAACGACAACAAAGAATATATGCTGATTTAGCTGCTGATACAAATACAATTGGAAATGAATTAGAACATTTAAAATCATTTACATATACAAATAATAATAAACAACAATTATGGGATAATCTTGAAAAAATTGAATCTAATATACGAACTATTCGTCGAACTATTGAACAACAAAAACAATCACATAACGCTTTAATATTTGCTGAAGGACATCGAGCTATAGCACCTGATACAATTGGACAAGTAACATATAATCAAATAGAATCTCATCGACGTTTTAATTCTCCAACACCACCACCACCACCATTACCACCAACTCCATCATCATTTCATATTGAACAAACTTCAACAAATATTGTACCACGTAAATATCTTAAAATTGATCATTTATCAACATTAGAACCTGAAACAATAGCAATGACAGAAAATAATAAAAAAATTTTATTAGGTATATGTAATAAATTATTTATACTTAATGAACATGGTGATACACTTAAAATAATACCATTATCACCAAGTATACGTGGTATAACTGTATCAAAAAAATATCAATCACAAAATATTGCTTATATATCACATGATGAATCCATAAGTATGATTGATATTGATAATGGACAAACATTAGATTGTGTTAAAGGTATTGAAACTTATAAATTTTTATTTAAATTAAATTTTTGTTTCCTTTTTTTTTGTTTTTAGAAACAGATTCAAATGGTCAATCAAGTATATTTTTACCATTAGGTATTGATACAGATAGTACACGTGGAGATGTTTATGTATGTGATTATCGAAATTCATGTGTACTTAAATTTGATGATAAACTTGAATTTATTAAACAATGGAAAATTTATAATCATTCTGAACAATATGATGAAGGTATTTAAATAATAATTTTAATTTTTAATTAAAATATTCTATTCATTTGTTTTTTAGCTCGACCAAAATTAATTTCTGTTTATGGACAAAAATTATATATTATTATTGAACATTCAAGTAAACCATTTTATAATCAAGGTAAATAATTTAATCAATAGAAAAATTTTCAAATAAAATATCGATAAAAAATATTCTTCTAATATTATGGTTTAAAGAAGAATATGAAATTCTAGTACACCAAAAAAAAAAAAAAGAGTTAAATCTTTTATATGATGAGAAATTTGATATTGTAACAAAAAACCATTTTCTTTACAAAAAAAAAAAAAAAATTAATCTGTAACAAAACCAGTACCTACAAATACTACCGATATAGTATAATAAATGGAATAGCAGTCTACTAATATAAGCTGTATGGTAGTATAGCGTTATACTACTATACCTGTACATCACTCATATCTTTATACTACTTGTATCGATGACATGGCTTCTATCTCGTATACTTTCGATGTGTTTTTGTTTTCGCAGATGTTTATTCTTTCTTATAAATTTACTATGAAATCAAATTTTCTATGAATTGGAATCTTTGCAAAAAATTTTTACAAGTATAATTTTTCTATTTTAGGTATTGCTTATACATTTTCACTTCATATATGTGATGCTAATTCTGGTAATGTAATAAAAATAATTGACTCTAATGTATTAGCAACACAACGCCTTCGTTGGCCATGTTCTGTTCAAGCAATAAATAATGAAAAATGTTATATATTAGATACGATGACATCAGGCAAATATTTTAATGGTCAATGGCAAAAACATTGGTCACGTGTACTTGAAATTGAACCAGATGGTCATCATATTGTAACAGAATTATTTCAATTAGATAGTGAAGCAGCAACAATGGCGATGACTAAACAAATAATGACTATTGCTGCTAATGGTGACATACTTTTTGTTGATTTGAGTTTTCTTTCTAAGAAACAACAACAGATTAGTTATGATCGTGATTATCAAAATTTACCGTGAACAAAACTTTTTTTTTTTTTTTGTTTTTTTAGACAGCTACATCTTTGTTTTTATTTCTTTCAGCGAAGACAATTTTGACTAATTATGAATTTCAATTTCTTCTTTTCTTTTAATTTGAATAATAATTGCTTGTTTTCACTTGTTCTAATAAATAAAAATTGGTTCCAATCGAGACAACCAATATACACGAGAGTTTGAATCTCTAATATTCTCTTTTTGCTTGACTAGTGTCTTGTATTTTATATTCATTTTATTTGTCGTTGTGTCGTATATACTTTCTTTTTTTTTCTGATTTTTATTTGCCTTCTTCAATGTTTTTGATCTTATAATGAAAATAAAGAAAAAAAAACTCGTTCTCAGATTTTTTTTTAATATTTCTCAATTAAATTCATAAATTAAGTTCTAGTAGATATATTTGTTTTCCAGATGCTTACAGCAAACGGAATTTTTGCACGTTTTACTGTCATGTCGGCACATCTTTCTATACTTATTATGATATTCATGAAACGAGTAAGTGTGTTTATTGTATCGTCATCGTTCAATCACGAAGATATTATTTTAATTTTTTCAGAGTACAGACTTTTGTGAGTACGATTATTCGTAGAGAGTAGCAACCAATAGAAGAAACTACTGTTTTCTACTTTATCTCAAGAACAAATATAGTCCTGAACAAAAATCTTTCTAATTCTTTTCAGATCTCAGCTAATATTATTGATAGAGGTCTACAAATTTAAATATCTATATTCCATCAAGCATATTGGTCAGTGGAAATCGAGATATGATGAATGGAAATCTAGTTTTGCTATGAACTCCATAATCTTAAACAATTATCTACTAAAATTTGTTTTGTTTCTATATTTCATATGAAACTTAAAGTCAATGTATAGGTTTTCGTCTTTATCTAAAAGAAAAGTTCATTGACTTGACTATTCTTCTTTGTCGATTCCCAATACTGACATAATAATCATGTCTATGTCATATTCCTTTCATATAATAATTGATTCTGAAACTTGAAGAAAAAAAGATATGAAGAAAGTTTCTCTCAAAGTTGTAAATCAATTTCTTTATCTATCACTGAATTATGAGTTGTTGAAGGACAAAATAGATTACTTTTTTGCACATTGATGACGAAAGTAAAATGGCTACAGTTCTCAACGAGCTTAACAAACCTTTAGGAAATTTATATGACAAATACATGAAACATACAGCTACATGATGATAGGTCTATCAACTCACAGTGTCTTCCGTCCTCTAGACTTATGAAACTCAAAGTAACAATGGATACCATTCATCAGATCTCAGCATCTACTCAAGCTAGCTAGATGCGGATAGTTCCGTTAACCTATATTCATAGTGAAGTATGCGTTTCGCAAATACTCAGACTTATATTTCGTCATAGTGACAAAGTAATGCGGTTCACTATTTTTTTCAACTATTAAATTGAACCACAACTTTCTGAATTAGATTTTGATATGACAGTGTAAACAAAATTCATACGTACGCCTCACACCTACATCTTCTTAGAAAAGTAGAGATACAATTCATGCCTACAATACCTTTTTCTTAGACAGCATTTTAATACTACTAAAGTAGCACATGAAAATTTTTTGTCGATGAAAAGGTCAGTGCACATGCTATTGACAGTGAAATTTTGCAAAATCACGAGACGTCCTCCAATTTCATGTGTTTTGAACTCATAGGAACTTGAACAACTGAAGTAGCCTTAACATCACACCTTTTCGAGAGTGCCGATATACTTTTGAGAGTTCTAAAGGCTTAGAACTCACGCAATCTAACTACTGCTGAGATTGAAGATGGAGAACACACTTGTCCATGGTATAAATATGCCGGATTGTGATCGTTTTGTAAGATATTGTTTAGATTTGGAATTGTATTTTTATGGTTTTTTTTGTCTAGAAAAAAAACTACACTTTGAATTTTGAAATACACGATCTACATTTTTAATAAATTGTCAATTTAAAATTTCTTTAGGGTGAATATGTTGATTCTTGTGGTATTCCCGAAAAAGGACAACACGATTTGACCGATACACGGTAAGATTTTAATTATAAATTTTCATTCTTACAAATATTCTATTTATAAGATTTATCATTGCATTATCTTTTTCAATTATATTACTTATTATTGAACTAATTATATTTTTACTTGGGACAAGTTTACTTCGAAATAAGATTACATTTGCTAGTATGTAATTCTATGACATAAATATCCGATTAATAATTGTTTTATTTTTTATCTTTGATAGCAACATTACTTCATTCAAGTGGTGCCATTTCACTTTCCTTTATGATTTTTACACGTTGGTGTAGTGTTTCATTTTGGCCTGTCTTTGCTATATGCAGTTTGATACCATTTTTTATTGAAATTATCAATGCACTTGGATATAATTTATCTAATTAATACTAAAACTATTATGATATAATAGTGTGTGCTTTTGTGTGTGTGTGTGTGGTGTTTTGAAATGTAAATATAAAAAAAACACTAGGATCTTAATTTAATTTACTGAATAGAATGAAAATAATTTCAATCTAACATAAATAACTTTGATTCATATTCTGAATATTAATGATCGTATTACTTGTGATTAGATTGTTCGATCTACTTTAAATATTTTTGATTTGAATAAAAATAAATTTCTTTTGTAAGAAATCTTTATTCTATTATTGGGTCAGATTGTTATTTTTTTTGACAATTCAATTATTTTATTGATTTCATCAAGAATATCTGATAAATAAAAACATTAGAACAATATGACCTTTTCCATAGATGCGAAAAAAAAAAACATTCAATTGATTTTATTATTCAATCATTACAATAATATTTTGTCATAATCATATATTGATTACAAGTTCTTTCTTTCTTTTTTTTTTTATTGCAATGAACGTCAATTATTGATATTATGTAACTGAATTATTATTCTATGTTGAATGAATTAAGAATATATATTTTAATATCGATTTATATCGTTGTTCTTATTCTCGATTTTTTATGTTCGAATATTTCGTGTACACAATATAACAATAATTCTTCTATTAGACATCCTAACATACAAGATAATTATATTTTTACATTTCTTTATCGATTAATACATCTATCTGTTGTGATAAAGAAACAGAATACGAATAAGTATCAATGATATGATAGTATATTTCGAAAGACAATAAAGAGAAAAGAAATACTAGATGTAGATTATTAGAGCACATCAAAAAAAAAGAAAAGAAGAAAGGGCAAAAGAAAAAAGAACAGAAGCCTAAAGAAAGTACATCTCACATATAGTACAATGACGATGACGATGAAGAAGAAGAAGAATAAAAAGAAAAATGGTTCTCCTTACTTTTCTATCCCTTTCGTCTTTTTTTTTTTTTCGTTGTGTGAGTGAGCGTCTGTGTGTGTAGAGCGTCAACATCAACAAAGGTTTTCACCTTGAACATACATCCATTGTCATCATTTGCATACATTGAGGTAAGTACAACAAATGTTCATAGATCTTTCATGTCTGTACAATCGTTCAATCAATCTTAAATGAAATTGTTATAATAAACATTTCAAGAATCATTGTCCTGAAAAGTAAATTTTTTAATTCACAGATTATCTTTCTCTCGAAAAAGGTCAATATCAAAACCGACGACCTCTATTAATTTTTCATTCCGATTCGCTGACTGACCATATATATATATATATATATATACAAAAATAAAAAGCGATCGCATTTATTTAAATGAATCGTTTTATATTCATTCATCTTGTCTCCTCCTCCTCAGGTCATCAGTAAAGTAATAAGAAAGAAAAAAAAAGTGTTCACATTTTCTTTCGTTAGTTTTGTGTTTTTGGTTATACTTTCTCATATTTATTTGAATATATCACAAAACGGCAATCAAACTTTTTTTTTCAATGTTTATTAACAGTAAATTTACAGGTAAGCATACTTAAAAGAAAAAAGAAGAATTATTATCAAATATTGAATGACCATACAAATTTCTTTTTTTTGCTTTATTATATGAATGATCGATTAGTTTGTTCTGTAGTACAAAGAGTCATGAGAATATTGTCAGATGTATGAACGATTATTCATTTATTCTATTTTTTTGCTTCTAGTACATGCCAAAATCAAACTCGAATAAGTATAGATCAGCGACAGCTGCATCGATGATCGAAGAAATAAAAGTTGTTGTTGTTGGTAAGTTATGCAAAAAAAGAAAAATATATAATTTGTTATAGAACTTAGATTATATTCTTATAGGTGATGGTTATACAGGCAAGGTGAAACAAGAAATAAATCAATTAATATAAATCTAAAGAAAATTTCTTTTAGACAACATTATGTATTGTTTATAAAGATGGAGAATATCCACAAGATCCTTATGTACCAACTATATTTGAGAATTATGCAGGTTAATAAATAGGAAAGAAAATTTTTTTATCAATTTTTTTAATATTCTAGCGACAGTGACATTAAACAATCGTAAATATATTCTCAATCTATTTGACAGTGCTGGACAAGTAAACGACAACGAAAAGTTATCTCAATATTTTTTTTTTCCTAAAAATAAATTTTTAGGAAGAATATGATCAACTTCGTATAATGGCCTATCCAAATACTGATGTTTTTATTCTTTGCTTTTCAATTGTGGATCCTGATAGTTATTCTAATATATTAAGTAAATGGATTCCTGAACTTAATCGTAATTATTGATTGTTGATATTCTTTTTAAACTTTATTAATGAAATATTTTTTTAATGTAGGTTATGCATCTCGTGTACCAATTATCCTTGTTGGAACAAAACTTGATTTACGTAATGATCCATCAACAGTTGATCAATTAGCAGAAAAAAATCAACGACCCATAAGTCAATCTCAAGGAGAATATTTAGCACATGTTTGTTCAGCTAAAGTTTATTTAGAATGTTCATCAATGCTTAATTTTAATGTAAGAAATGTATTTGAACAAGCAATAGAAATTCATAATTCTTATGAAGAACGATATCGTCATAGTTTAAGTAATGGACGACGTATTTTATCTGATAAACTTCATTCATGTTCATGGTTTAATACATTATTTTGTTGTACAACAGATTCTAAAAAATCACATCGAAAAAATAATCATGATTGTTATACAGTGTAAATTAAGATTTGTATTAATATGTGCAATCGAGCACAGTTTAACTGTGATGATTAATTGTTTATATTGTTCCAGTTTTTGTTGTTTTCTTAGATCTATTTAAAGTGAAATGAATTGTACTTTTTCGTTTTGTTTTCGATATATATATATACATAAGTGTTAAAAATTCATTCTTCAATAAAGAAAGTTTTTTATATAGATAAATAGTTTCAGAAATGATCTAACATGTTTGTTTAAAAATATTTTATTTTAATTATAACATCATTATTAGGAATAAATTGAATGTTGAAGTTTCTATTTGCTTTCTTTTTTTCATTTTGTGACATTCGATGATTTATTTAACATACATTTTTAATATGAATCAGCAACACTGATTAATAAATGATTAATTTTGTAGGAAAAATGATTTATGAACATTTAGATTAGTTGAAATTCATTTATCTTATTATTAAAATGTTCAATTGATTTATTTCAAATTTTTAATTATTATTTACACGCAAAACTATCTGGAGAGGATTAGAAACATGTTTGAAAAATGTCATGGTAACCATTTATTTGTGATGATTCGGTTTGAAAGAAAAAAAAGTCTTTTGATCATACAATATAAAGTTAATTTTACAGGTCAATGCAATCATCACAAAACATGTTTATATGAAATATTAGAAGAGAATTTACCAATCAATTATAAAATAATTATTTCTTATCTGACATTCGATATCATTTTAAAATAAAGTGATCTTCTTTTTATAATGTAAAAACATATGTGTGTAGATATTTGCTCTTCGTATAAAGTGTCAGTTGAATATTTTCTAATAATAAGTTGTTGTTATATCAATTAGAATAAAATAATTGCTTCATTTCTTGATATAGTCCACGTTCAACAACTACTGATTTTTCTGGTTGCTCTGAAATTTAATTGGATTCTTGAGCATTGAGTGTGTAAAGAAGGAACGATTCTCTTTCACTCATAATTATTAATGTAGTCCTTTTGATAATCAAAATATAAAACTCAAAAGCTCGAATCATTATAAAATTAGATCATCAAAAAACAAAGAGATACAAATGCTATATGATGTAGTTTTCTTAAACTAGAAAAGTATCGTATAAATTTTGATTGACATGAATGCCCGTCTGAAACATGCTGTAAACTAGTATTTATGCAAATGTTTGACAAATTTTGGATTGCGGACATAAAACATTGATTGTATCAGTGCACGTAACATATGAATTTATGTAAGAACAAAGACAATATTTGTTAGGCAGTTCTACTAATTATATATGTCATGCAGAATGATAGAAAGCTTCAAATATCGTTCTGCTGGTGTTCTAATGTATAAAATACATTATGTGTATATTTTGTTCGTGTTTAGTCTGAATGATCACATCACAGTTGCAGCTAAGAGAAATCTCGATAGTTGATAAGGACGAGAACTAACTATTTATCTTTGAAACTCCTCCCGGTCGTTAAGAGAAACGTACTCATTAGTGTGTGCTCCATGTTGCCATGAAGGTCTAGCATAGGAGAGAGCAGAAACATCTCGCCTTAAAACTTACACTCACTGTTTTCGTTCGGAAAATATATGTGAACATTACAAAATTTAGCAAAACGACCACCACTCTGTAGAACAGACATATAATCTCAAATTCTTTCGGCCATTGTGAAGTGTTATGTATATGCCCAAAAAAATTAATTTCAAATTGATGAGTCATTTCAAGCTATTTTCTCGTCATTTTCAATAAAATTTCAAAGAAGACTTTATTTTAAGCTCTTCAAGTATAGCTCTATTGCTATCGATATTCAATTTGGTACTGATAGTGTCTCCTTTTTTTCTCCATTGACATGTCGAGTTGTTTTTTTTATGATGATTTCGTTAAACTACACAAATAATTTGAAAAGAAAATATCTGTTCGATAATTTTAATATCATTATTTCACGAGGAACGTCCGATCGAGACCGTATAAGTCTCTAATAGATTTGTCCCTTTTAGATTTATCTTTAGTTAATTGTAGTTAATGTTCAATTATCGGTTTGATTGGATGTGAGTATTGATATTAGTAGATTTATCAATCCTCTCCCTCCGACATTCAATTAATACAATATTTTTTTAAATATCTCTGCAAATTCAATTAGAATTGAAAATGAGGAGGCAAATATTTATCGCTTGAGGAAGATCTCAGTCAGGGTTAAGCTCTTTCACGACATCATTCATAACTTGATGTTTAGGCTATATGAACCAGACATGGAATTAGTGTGAATTTTTACGACTGATATCAGCCGCTTACTGGTAGATTGATTTCGTCTTAGATCTATACCGATACCGAACTGACAAGTTGTCGTATTATTTCATGTATGGATAATAATATTTGATATCGTCAACTTTCAACAAAGCTTCATTATATATCTTCTATGAGATACTAAGAGCAAAAACAATTAATAGAACATCCTGATAGCAAACGTTCTAAAACCTGTACCAGTTCTATCTCTAATATGACTCTATTAAATCAACAAAGTTCATTTTGAAAAAAATCAGACATGATTCTCTGATATATGTATATATAAAACAAAATGTTTTATTTTGTATCTATTTTTAAGTCATTAATCAGAAAAAAAAGTGTTCAAGATTCTTGATGTGTTTTAGTATTCGTTGTTGGTATTGGAATTGATATTCGATTTTTTGCTTTTAATTGTGTATGCATTAATGCATGAACACGATCGGTTGTTTCTTGAAATTTTGTTGAATCATGAAGAAATTGATGTAATGTTCGTGTTGATTCTTGATGAATTAAACTCATTAAATCAGTTGGCTTAACACTTGTACGTCGCCATTCATGTAATTCTCCACGAACTTTATCTGCTGCACTGTTTGTTACTGAAGATGACATACGATGTTCTTCACCTTCTTTGTTTGCTTCGAGTTGAGCATAACATTCGACAAGACTTTCAAGAACCATATTTATCCAACGAAATGATTGAGATTTTGTATCTATTAAATAGAAAAGAAAAATCTATTTATTAATATTTATTCAATGAATATATTTACCTAATAATGATGAAATACTTTGAAAAAGTGTTAAAGCTTGTGCATAATTTCCTTGTTGTTTATAAATTAAACCTAAACTTGCTTTTGTTACAAGAAAATGAAAACTATTTGGTGGTAAACAAAGTTTATATATTTGTAAACATATATTTAATTGTTGTTCAGCTTCATTATACCTAGCAGAAAAAAAAGAAGTAAACAAATAAACTTATGAAAAAAATAATTTTCTTGGTTTTTTTTTACATCTTTTTGCTAAGATATGTTGCTGATCGAAGTCGATGAATTTGTGCAACTTTAAAACTCATTGTTCCAAATATATCTTTTGCCATAGCAAGACAATCATCAAGTAATTCCATTGCATCATTAAAATAACTATCTTTATTTTCAGTTTGATCAGATGAAGCTCGTGCTTGTAATGCATGAGCAAGACTCATTTTAAATGGAAATAAACGAACACTATCTTCAACTCCAAACCAATCTTGTGCAATACGATGAGCTTCATTAGCATGATGAAGATAAGCTGTTTGTGGTGAATCAATATATTTATTATCAGATGAATGTTCTTCAACATGACGACGAGAATAAGTTATTGAAGCAAGAGTAATTAAACTTTTTGATAAACCTCGATGAGAATGAGCAACTGCTAATGATTCATAACCATAAACAGTTCGAGCTCGATCAAATGTATACTAATATTTAGATTTCAATTAAATCAAGTATAAAAATTTTTTTTTTCTAAGAAAAATAATTAAGTATATAATTTACCTGTGCTAATTCAACAGTACTTGCATCTTGTATAAATTCATTTGAATATTGTACTAGTTGTTGAAGTGCATACACATATTTTGGACTATTACGACCACAATATTTTCTAGAATGAAAATTAAAATTGATTATTTGTAATTGTATGCAAAGTGTCAATAATTTCAAAATTTCAGCAAAACGTTTTTGTTATATTCAAACGATATTTTTGTAGTAAAATAGTTGGTACAATTTCTTTGGCATTAAAATGTCAATAACTTCCAGAACTTATTGTTTTTTAGAATTTTTTAATATGCTTCGGTAGTAATTAGGACTTGAAGATGTAGGTGAGAGTTACTTTTATAATCGTTGCTCCAACTATTAACCCATCCAGTGTTTTTTGTTAGTTGTAAAAATTTTAGAACAGTGACAATTAATATAAATCAATCTGACTATGTTTAGAACCGACCCACTGAGGAATCAATTCATGTTAGGGAGTTATAAGTGCAGAGGAATGTCTATATACATAGATTAGATCTACTGACAGAACAATGATCCGTTGAGAAATGATTTGAAGTTAAGAACTTCTTATGGAAATCCCTATGATACCATTATTTTAGATAAATCTTATAGAACACATCCTACTTCCATAAACATATGATATAGCAAAAAAAAATCTCGCAACTTTAAAAAGATCTAATAAACCTTAACAACCGAATAAGCCCGAGTAGTTTCTCAGAGAGAGTTGCTAAGATATCTTTCAGAAACTGTGATAGTCTCTGATTAGCATCTGCTACGATTTGTGGAAAGAGCAGAGGGGATGTAAATTTCCATCCTACATACTTCGACACTACTCTCAATTCGTGTTTTACAAAAAAGGGAAATGTTGATAAAAACTTGAAATATACCAAAAACATAATGTCTGAATAGTCTCCGTATGTATTCGAAGTTTTTTATTTTGATTTTACTCAGCCAATACTTTGACCTGCAGTTTTCCTAAGGACGACATATGACGGAATCTTGTTTAAAGTATCGAATATACTATTCGATTGCTTCTGAATATGATATTCGTTACATTTGGAACTGACATGCCGCTCGTCTAAGTCTCGAAATATCAACCTTCATTCATGGCATTTTGCTCTCATATCGAAAAATTTTTCCTAACTGTATGACAACTCAAATCTAAAAAAGATTCGGATAGAGATTGAGATTGCCGAGATTTGATGCGGTTTGCATATTTCAATGTTTCTAGGCTTTTCAGATTTTTCGAAACCTAAGTTTTTACTACAAAAAACAGCATTGTTAGTTATGACTTGACGAGTCCTATATAATTATAGCATAAAAACGCCAAAAAAGAAACTTAGTCAGCACATTATAGTAATCTTACGCTGCATATTGTACAGCCATAACAGCTGTTGCTTGTGCTTTATTCATAATCCATTTCAATGTTAATCCTTGTGTCAGTGAACAAAGTAAATCAATAATTAATAAATGATTATTTTTATCAGCTGATTTAAGACCTCTATATATTCAAAAAAATAATCATATAATGAAATATTTAAGAGAAAGTTTCAACAATACTTATAACAATATTGAATAGAAGCATCGAAATTAGCATCTTCATATGCTGTTTGTGATGCTGCAAAACATAACCAAGCTTGATCATTACTGGAGATTTCTAAATACAAAAACAAAAAGGCAAGACACATTAAACAAGAAAAACTAATATTGTCAACACGAATAAAAACAAAAAAAAATTACCCATGCCAGTTGTTTTAAGATTTTCGGCAATTTCATTTGCAGCTTCAATTCTAGCCCATGCTTCTTTTATTTCTATACCTTGATTATGAACTTGAATAAGTGCACAACATGCACGAAATAAATATGTCCAAATAGTTGGTTGTTGTTGTTGATGTTGTTGTTTAACTTGTTTTGTTAATGATTGTACAATACGTTCAATAATTTGTCGACATAATTCATATCGTCCATAACCATATAAAAAATTATATAATTGAAAACCTTTATCAATTACTTTAAGTAAATCATCTTGTTTATCAAGTGAAATAACAAATGATTGAAAAAATTGTCGATCAAAATGTATACCATAAATAGATGATAATGCAATAAAATATTTATAAAAATGATGATAATGATTAGAATCTAAAAGAATTGAACTAACTACTTCTGTATCGAATGTACATTGATTAGCAAGTGAATTTTCTTGTTTCATTAAATTATTTATTAATTCAAGACGACGCATATCATCAAATGCTTGATATTCAGTTTTAAGTTGTTCACGATCATATGATTGATCTGAATGAGATAATTGATCAAATAAATGTGCAGGAATCTAAATATAGTTTGTTTGTTTTTATTTTTATTTTTAAATTTTTAAGTATACTGTAAAATTAAACAATTATTTCCTTTAATATAATATACCTGTGATAGATAAGTAAGATTGTCAATAACTTTTTGAAAACTTCCTTGAATTAAAATTTTATTCATTTCATATTTATCAAATTCAATTTTTGTTGTTTGTTCTTGATTATTTTTTATAGGAGAACTTAATTGTTGTTCATTAGTTGATTTTGGTTGTGATGTACGAAGTAAATCTTTATTAACATTATTACGAAATTCATTTGAACGTGGTACATTTGTTTTATCAGCAAATGCATCGGATGCATGTTGAGCAAAAGCTGGTGTACGTATTACTGTATTATCAAGTGCTGTTACAAGATCACCATAAACAGATGGATTTTCTAATAGAAAACTACGAAATAATAAAAACCAATTGGCTGGACGTTCACCACGTTCAGCTTCTTTTCCAAATGATATTGGTGTTAAAAGACAATCAATTAAACGACGTGCACGATCAATTCGTGATGTACCTTGATTTATATATTGTACATCATGATTAACAGATAGAATACGAGCACGAATAAGTTTTGGTAAAATTTCTTGAACATCAATTTGTTGAATTAAAGCAATACGATTAACACGCAAACGAGTAGCATTGGCACTATCACGATCCATTTTTATTTGTATGTGTATGTGTACATTCGTTTACTTCTTGTTGGTGACGGTGGTGATGGTGACGGAACAGGAATATGAAAAAAAAAAAGAAAGTTTCTTTGTTTTGAAGAGAAATATTTATTGCTTGTAATTCATGTTTTTTCTTTTCAGTTCTCTATTATACTCACAAAGTTGAATATGAAGAAAAAAGAATGAAAAAAGAAAAGAAAAAAGAACTACCGATCATTTGTTGAGTGACTATTTATATTTATATACAAAATCTCATTTAAAATGAAAAGAAACAAAAAAATTTTATGTATGTTTTAAAATAAATATATTTTTTTTTTGTAATAAAAATGAACCAATGTTTTGAACATATCATAAGTAAATTAATTAAAATAATAAATCAATAGATTTTAATAAGAATATACGAATGAAAATCATTATTCATTCTTATTCAATTATCATAATGACTTCGGATATTTAGTAGACAGAAATAAACATCAGGCGATTAGAGATTATTTTATTTGTGCGTCTCTCGTTCGCTTGTTGTACTGATGAATGAAAAAATAAACAAGTTAGGTGCATGTCAAAGTAGGTTTTGTAAGGTACCTACTAATGAAAAACTGAAGAGAATTTTTTTTTCTTTTTCATTTACACATGGTTTAATAGAGTTTGACATGCTAGTTATGAATTTATAGTTTTTAATTGATTTGATCGCTGAACGTGTAGGATTTGCCGTTGTGAATGTATGTTCTTTTTTATAGAAATCATCAAATTTCAATTAAGTTATCTTTTCGAATTTTATGAAAACAGTTTATTTTGATTTACTATAAAAAATTGAGTAGAAAAGTATCATTTGATTAGATTTAGAGATAATACTCTTAAATAAAATCCTGTACAATAGTTTCAAGATTCTTCATGACAACTATGTGCTAATATTCTTGTAAACCTATCTATGAGTTTTCGACACAAAAGGCAACAGTAAGTGTCTGATTTCATTAGCACCATCCACTTGTAAATTAAAAAAGTATCTACTGAATTTTTTCAGATAATATTTCATTGCTGGGAAAAATTAATTTTTTTTCTCGTTTTGATGGTAACATTAGATAATAGGGTCAAAAATGTGTTTCTCATTTAACAGGTTTTTTTTTACTATGGCTTAGCTAAAATTCAAAATAGAAACAATATTGGAAATTAATGTCAAAAACTGTATCCACTGATATATATATATCAGTAAAAACTGTTTCGATAGAAAATACACATGTGATTTCCCATAGGCCTACTTTTCTGAAACTTTGCTGCTGCTCCGTCGAGTGCTATTTTTTGCAGAAAAAAAAGATTCCTCAAAGATATATGATTCGGTACAATTTTTGACGCTGATTCCGAATATGTTATGTATTGATAATTTAATTGAAATTTGATGATTTTTGTAAAAAGAAAAGCGAGCTCATAATTGCCAATGCTACGTTTTCAGCCATCCGAGCTTTTTCAGAGGTCAAATTGACACAAAAACTATATATTTATGATCAAGAGGTGAAACTCTTAAGCCATATACAAATGAAAGAGAAACCATTCTCTGAAATTTTGTATTAGCAGCATCTTTAATTTTACTTCTTTTTCTAAATATTTATTTTGTTGAGTTTTCGACTCAGAATGGAACATTCTACAAATTTTTGCTTTTTATCTTTTTGATATTTTTTCACAATATGAAACCGAGTGGAATCTAGTAAACTCAGAATTTCAAGTTCTATCAAGTGATACTATTCCATTTCATAGCAATAGTTTGAAGAAAAAAGTTTTTTGATAGTTCAGAATGTTTCTTCGGGAGATTTATTCAAGCACTTTGACGTTTAGGAAATCTTCATTTATTTAATACCCATTCCAAAAAAGAAAAAATGTGAGTTTTTTTTGAATAACTTTTGATAGAAACTAGGTAGAGAGGTGTGGTTTGCATTGTTTAAAAGACGAAATGAAACTGTGTCGAATTGTCTATACCAGTTTTTCTTGAACAAGTTTTCTCAGAGTCTACCATCAAGTTTGTTAAACACAAAAGATTGTCTAATGTAAAAGTTTTACGATCTCAATTTTCAGAAGTGCACTAGCATCGTTAACTGAAGATCTATAAAATCTGTAAGTCCTATGTTATAAGTTTTTCATAAAAAATTGACGTTTTTTCTCATTTTTCAACGAAAAAATCCACCTTATAAACTTATTCAAAAGCCCAGATTTTTTGAAAAAATTGGTGAGAGACTGTGAGAAAACTTGTCAGAAAAATCTGATATAGAAGATTCAATGCAGTTTCACTTCCTTTCTTAAACAGTGAAAACTGCATTTCTCTATCTAGTTTCTATTAATACTTATTCAAAAAATACTCACATTTTTTCTTTTTTGAAATGGATATGAGTTCTATTCGAGAATATTATGTTTTTGAGTATCTTTATCATAAAGATATAGATCAATACTTTATTCGTTTATCTGAATAATAATTCAGAAAATTCTATAGACACAGGAATATTCTAAATGAAAAGAAAAATAGACAATTAGAGAGTTTTCTTTTCAGACAATAAGCATTAAAATGTTCATTAAAACAAAAGAAAATTTCATATTGACAGACAAATATTGACCATGACTTTTTGATGACGATATTTGTTTCTTGATTTCATTATCATGAATATTTTCTGGGACAAAACTACGAAATAATTTTCTGAAATGTAAAGGTTGTATTTTTCGATATGTATTTTTCATTAATTCAGATTTTTCTCCATGTAAATTTTGAAAAGCTTGTAATTGTTCAGATGATAATTGTAATGGTTCTTGTAAAACACTCCATATAACTGATTCGTAACAAGGTGGAGTTGTTAATGAACCATCATAACGATAATAACGATGCATACGTTTTACACCAATTAAATCTTTCAAACTGAAATCTTCATCAATAAAAACATGTTTATCTTTATTTCGAATATGTTTTAATGCATTAACTATTGGTTGAAGAAGTGAATTCGACTTATTACTAAGCTAATAATTAAGAAAACAAAATATATGAAAAATAAAAATAACAAAGAATTAGAAAAATTCACTTCAAAGAAAACACCAACAACAGCAAGTGCACGTGTATTCAACATTGCTTCACTAATATTTGAAAACCAACTGGAATAAGTTACCATATGCATCTAAATATGAATCTCTATTAAATATTTCAATTAAATAATTAACAATTACTTCTAATGGATATGATCGTCCTTCAAGTAAATGTTCCGATCCATTAACAGTGTCATTTGAATGACCCCAATGAAAATGAATTTGTTCTACTCGATAATCTTCACTTGCCGGAGCAACATGTTTTAATACAGAATGATTTGTTAAACTAAGTTGAGCTATGAAAGACAAATATTATAGCAAATAATTAACAGTATTTTTATATGTGAAAGGGAAGATTGGTCAATACAGATGGATTTAAGATACTTGTTCACAGACGTATGTGAGTAACTGTGAATGTAAATATTAAATAGCTGCAATTCCTTCGAGACTCGATTCTATGAAATCTTGGTATGGAATGGATAATACAGAAAACTCCATTAGCTATTAAAATTACTATTTGAATTTGAGCTAGATGGTTAACATTCTAGGCAAAAAATTTAAAATTAACTTTTTATCACTATTTTATGATGTGTTCGCCCTTTCGAAAGAGTTAATATGGATAAAACATTATGTATAACGAAACTTACCTGTGTGACCATTATTGAGGAGTTTCGGTCGACCTATAAATACGTATTAATAAATTGACATCCGAAAAAAAAAGAAATTAATATTTATTTACCACGAGACTTTAGCTCTTGTAAATACAAAGGTTTAAGACGACGATCAAAAAGTGATTTTTTAAATTGTAAATCAATTGGCGATTGTAGATTTCCACGGCAATAATGATCATCATGCGACCATGCAGTAATATTTTCATAAGACCAATGTCCTATATTTTATAATTCGAGCTTTTATTAAGGAAGGCCTCCTCACAAACAACCCTTTTTTATTTTTCCATGGAATTTAATCAAAATTTCAGAGAATGTTAGTCTTGACTAGAGTAGATTATGGTTAAAACATCTCCTCAAATCTACGAGATATTCACGATTTATAGTCAATTTATTAGTCTAAAGTACCCTCTACGTGAGCAAGGTTTTCACAATCAAGATACGAGCTAACATGCCGAGACTGCTTTTATGTTGTAGAGTACCTCTAGAGCTAGATCCTTACAGAGTCTGATTTTTATAATTTCTTTTGTTTGTTCTTTAAAAATATCTTTTCAGAAAAATTCTTAAATTCATGACCAAAACAATCGCTGATAAAAATCAAATATGTAAGTTTTCTTTTTTCGCCAATAGAGAAATTTTAGACTAGGGCTCTGTGACGATCTAGCCCAAACTGTCCTCTATGCAATAAAAAAAAATTATCACTTCTATATGAAGTCATTATTGAGTAATATTTGTCCACGCAAACAGTAAACTTGAAAAAACGATATCCTTCAAACTCATCATAAAAGCAATCAACTATAGTGCATTCGAGAGTAGATACGTTGCTCTATCTAACACGCTATAAATTACAAAAGTAATAAATTTGACAAAAGTTGATTTTGTCTGAAGGGGATCTCCTTAAGAAAAAAAAAGAAAAATATTTACCTTTCGATTCAACAATTATTGGTAGCAATAATACAATCATTAACATCAATTGTAACATATTTGATAAATCGATCCGCTAAAATGAATTCGCTAGAAAAAGAAATCTACTGCATAGAAAGAAATATGAACTATATTCAATCAAAAGCATAATAATAATAATAGAAATCTCTTATTCCAATGTTATAAAGCAAGAAAAAAAAGAAAGACTAGTGAGCGACACAATAAGAAGTTGATTACAAAAGAAGAACATTTTATGTAGAACTATAATGGCCTTTTTATTATCAATGGCATTATCTTCTATCAAATTCTCTTTTTTGTTTCTATTGGAAATAAAATAAAAAGATGACGAGACATTTTACTTTGCTTGATTTGTAAATGATTCCGTTTTCTTTCATCTTATTGAGTATCGATGTAAAACATTTATATACAAAATTATTTCACGTACAATATAGCTAAAACATTTGAGCTTATCAGTGTCTTATTTTAGTAAACATAATATTTGATATCCCATATTATCATAAGATAAAATATCTAGAGCACCTAAATGTTTACATTAACTAAGATAGATATAAATTTCACATAAGTACAAAGATCTTTGAAAAATTGAAAGGAAAGCCACTATATGATTTGTATGAATTCATTGCCAACAATCAATAATCTCTTTCTAGATTAGTAAAAACTTTTGATTGTGCGGAAATATATTTTCATAATGATATAATAATGTTGCGTGAAAGATCAAACTATAACACGAGATTTATTCATACTCACTGGTAGAAGTTTTTTTTTTTAATGATAATATTGAATAAGAAAGTAATGGTTATATTTAATATGAAAATTTTTCTCGAAAAGATTCGCCGTAGAATTCAACACAAAACAGTATACCTTATTCAACTAATATATTTTTATTTCTTTTTAGAATACGTTTTTTTTTAGCAATAGGATTATGTAGAGCTTTCCAAATTTGCATTTTTTTTTTCAAGAAGTATTTCTATTCTGAAAGCATTGTACCTTTGTCTACGACGTATTGACAGGTTATTAATGTTAATAATGTACTACTAAATTATTATTCAGAATGGATTCATCATTGCAATGAGGTTTAAACGTATCCTTAAGAAAGACACAAAGCTTTAAAAATAAAAGTGCGTTTTAAGAAAAAAATAGATAAAATGCAGATTGCTGAAGCTCTACATAATCTGATTGCTAAAAAAAAATCTGTGCGCTATAAAGAAAGAAAAATATATTAATTGAGTAAGTTATACTGATCTTGTGAAGAACTCTATTGGGAATCGTTTGAAAGAAAACAGAGCTTGAAGAATTGAATTGATCGAGGCATGAGCAAAATACTAATCGGTAATTGATTCTGCCGCACCCGTTATTTTATGTATTTTTCTAATTTTCTTAGTTAGTCTTTGAAAAAAAAAACTTTCGAAATAAAAGAAAACATGTATCAAGGTTCTTTTATTTGATTACCATCATGATCGATCACTAATTTTAAACGTACTAGTATTTTATCTATCATTGATTGATATCAAGCAACACTAAATTCTTTTCATTCCTTTGTCATGTCGTCTTTACTTTATTAGGCTTCGGATCTCGTCAATTTTCTTTTAATACATTCCAAATAGAGTCTATAAGTTCAAAGTCAGCTAGTTTTGCAGCATAATTCACTTGATAAAAGCACGTTTAAACACATTCAAAGTCGTCGACACCTTGTGTTAATGATCTTGATTATAGTGAAAAATTTCATTTCGTGAATGACCTAATTTTCTGCTACAATAATGATAGTGTTCTCTTAGTTTCTTATCAATAGTCAAAGCTGTAAATCTGAAATTTTGTATCTATTTAGTATTATAGTCATGTGGTCTCGAATTTAGGTTGATGAATGGTTTGTGTAATCATTTTTTTTGAAATGAACATCTATTATTTCACTCTCACACTTGGATGTTTACTAGAGAACACTATAAACTATATAATGGTGTAGTATTGGATTTGATTTATAAAAATGTTGAAAGAAAATCTGTATGTGAAAAATTGTAATATAAATTTTTCAAATTCGTATATTTCTCATCGATAATAATAACTAAATCGAGACGTGTTGCTTTCAATATGTGTTTTTAATAAATGTTATTCAATGATACTATTTCCTTCTTCTTTTGTCGACTTCTTCATGATTCTTTGCATTGTTTATATAGAATATTGGTTCATAAATGATCTGTAGTTATTCCAATTTTGGTGATAATACTATGTAAAAGTAAAGTAGACGCCATAGGAAAAGTAAAAATAGAAGCTAAGTGTAGTGAAGATTTTCTTGCACCCACATTACACTTTCAAAACTCTTTTTTGCTTAGTTCCAATTTTCTATTAGAATTAATTTTTGATATATAACTGTGGGTCTGACAATTTTAGTTTTGAAATCTTTCATCTCTTTTGTTATTGTTTAGCTTAATTCAGTCAAATTGAATCTTTTAGTATGAATTTCTCGGTCATTTTTCGCTTTCTCTAGGCATCTGTATGACCATAGCCAGAATACATTATAAATATCTTTTAATTGAATAAAAAACATTAAAATTTTAAACGGAATTTGAAATCAATGAATTATAAATAGAAACAATTATCTACCATAGCTACAAAGAGTTTTGTTTGTCTTAAATGCAAGAACAATGAATTTGTATATATATTATGATCTGAATATAAACAATCCATTCATATGAGACAACTTGTCTGCAAAATGTTTCTATCTAATTTGATAAAATTAGATGTTAATTTAACATCTCTAAATAACAACAAACTATTTTCTATTAATTTAAAGACAATAGTCTAATGATCTGCTTTTATTTATTCATTGACGTCCATTTTTTTTTGTAAGATACAATATTTGAAAAAAAAAATAAGAAGAAGAAGAAATACAAAGATATGTAAGATAGTTATTGGTTGTTGTTGTTTAATATTCTTCACCTTCACCTTCACCTTCGCCCTAAAAGAAATCGTATACAAAAAAAGAACAGTTAAGCAAAAAAAAAAGAAAATATGCTTCCATACTTCAACTGAATCAACACCAACTTCTTCATAATCTTTTTCTAATGCAGCTAAATCTTCACGTGCTTCCGAAAATTCACCTTCTTCCATACCTTCACCAACATACCAATGAACAAAAGCACGTTTAGCATACATTAAATCAAATTTATGATCAAGACGAGCCCAAGCCTCTGAAAAATAAGTAAAATATTAACAATAATAATAATAGTATATAAATTCATACCGGCAATAGCTGTTGTATTTGATAACATGCAAACAGCACGTTGTACTTTAGCTAAATCACCACCTGGTACAACAGTTGGTGGTTGATAGTTAATACCAACTTTAAAACCAGTTGGACACCAATCAACAAATTGAATTGTTCGTTTTGTTTTAATTGTAGCAATAGCAGCATTAACATCCTTTGGTACAACATCACCTCGATATAAAAGACAACAAGCCATATATTTACCTAAAAGAAATTTAATTTAACACTTGAAAAAAATGAAAAATAAAAAACGGATTTATTTTTACCATGTCGAGGATCACATTTAACCATTTGATTAGCTGGTTCAAAGACAGCATTTGTAATTTCAGCAACAGTTAATTGTTCGTGATAAGCTTTTTCAGCTAAAGATGAAAAATAAAAATTATTTCAATAGATAATAGAACTAAAACTGTTTTTTTCTTTTTCATACCGCTAATGATCGGTGCATAAGTAGCTAATGGAAAGTGAATACGAGGATATGGTACTAGATTTGTTTGAAATTCTGTAAGATCAACATTAAGTGCACCATCAAAACGTAATGAGGCTGTAATGGATGAAACAATTTGAGCAATTAAACGATTTAAATTTGTATATGTTGGACGTTCAATATCCAAATTACGACGACAAATATCATAAATAGCCTCTTAAATTTTTCAGAAAAATAAATAAATATAATTCAAATAAATTTTGTAAAATTACAAACCATTATCAACCATAAAAGCACAATCCGAATGTTCAAGAGTTGTATGTGTTGTTAAAATTGAATTGTATGGTTCAACAACAGCAGTTGAAATTTGTGGAGCTGGATAAACAGCAAATTCAAGTTTGGATTTTTTACCATAATCAACACTAAGACGTTCCATTAATAATGATGTAAAACCTGAACCAGTACCACCTATTTTAATGATATTAAACTAGAATTATATATTATATTTCTATCGAAAAATTTACCTCCAAAACTATGAAAAATAAGAAATCCTTGAAGACCAGTACATTGATCGGCTAATTTACGAATACGATCAAGTACCAAATCGACAATTTCTTTACCAATGGTGTAATGACCACGAGCATAATTATTAGCTAAAATCATAATACATATATATATATATATATATGTATGTACAAGAGAAGATCTTTTATTAAATATACTTACCAGCATCTTCTTTGCCAGTAATTAATTGTTCTGGATGAAATAATTGACGATAAGTACCAGTACGTACTTCATCTAAAAATAAAAATTATTTCTAATTATTATATTTATTTATTTTATTCTTACCAATAACAGTTGGTTCCAAATCAACAAAAACAGCTCGTGGTACATGTTTACCAGCTCCAGTTTCACTAAAGAAGGTGTTAAATGAATCATCACCACCTCCAATTGTTTTATCTGATGGCATTTGTCCATCAGGTTGAATACCATGTTCTAAACAATATAATTCCCAGCATGCATTACCAATTTGAACACCAGCTTGACCAACATGGATTGATATACATTCACGCATGATCTAATGAACAAGAATTTTCTTTTTTGAACAAAGAAGATAAAATATGATGTAAACATACGAATAGTTTTGTTTTTTTTTTGTTTTAAAAAACGGTTGAAATTGTTGTGTTGATAGTAGTTACTTGTTTGCTCTCGCACGTCTCTTTGTTGCAACTGACTGACAGAATGTTCGAGCCGGGCTGAAGTCTTATATAGAGTGATGAATGTGTAACGAAGGCGACGAAAGAAAAAGAAAGAAGAGAGAATTATCGTGCAATACAGTCTTAGTAGCTAGTGATGAATCATTCCACTTGTACTAGTTCAAACAAATGATGGAAGTGTAGTATAGAGTTTCTATTGGAGACTCGTCAACGACGATGAAACAAATACAACGAAAAAAAAAAACACAGAAAAAAAAATGAGTCCAAAAAAAATTCCTTAGAGACCGTACCATCACTACAATAAACCAAAAAAAGAAATGTATAAACATCAAAAATTAGAAAATTGTTTTTTTTTTGTACCAATAATAAAATCTATTCCGTCCTATAAATTTTTTTTTTTTTGAATATTTATTTAAATAGAAGTAAAAACAAACAAGAACTAACAACGATTATATTTGTGTTGCTATAACACAATCTAAGAAACGTATTGGACAATTGATTTCTATTTAATATATTTCCATTGATTACCTTCAACTATGTACGACTGTATGTATTGTTTTAACATCAAGGTAGACAATAATTTCAAAATTCTTCTGCTGAACAAAGAAATGAAAGGGCTAATAAAAGAGTATCTACGAATACTACATTAATAATGATGACATAAGATGACCTTCATTCCATGTATATATTCTTCATAAACAAGATTCATTTGACGAAATAAAAGTTTTCAGACGAATTAATTGTTGGTTATATTGATTTCAAACTAAAATACAACGTATATTTTACAAACTTTAAGTTTAGAATATGTAAGATTAGAATTAACAATGGCATGTTTATTATTTGATACATGCGGTGGAAAACTTCAAACTAAAAATGTCTGCGAACTTAAAAAACTAGTCTTTTAATTTTATTAACTCATTAAAATTTTTAATTGCATACAATCTGAACAATGAACTAAGTAAAGTATTGTATAAATACTGAATACATGTAGAAAAACGTCAATTCTGAGTAAAGTATAATCTATCGATTTCAATCATGTTTGAACAATATAAGAGATTTATATGTTCAAGTCATAAACTTAATTTTTTTTTCCAATTTTAATGTGGTCAGAATTATTTTTATTGTAACTATAAGATTTTTTTAATTGATGAAACTGACAAAAAAAAAAAAACTTATTTAATTGAACACTCAAATAAATCTACTTGATCAAAAAAAAAAAAGAATTGTATTCAGAAAAAAAAATCAATCATTCTACACTAACTTTTTTAAAAAGTTCCAATTTTCAAATATTAAATAATGAGTTTGCAATGTAGAGTCTTGAAATCATTTCATAAAAATATAATAATTCAAGATTGATACCAAAAACTCCATATATTACAAACTTCTCCATTTGTTCTATTTTGCTTATGGCTAATTACTTTAACTAAAAGACTATTTTTAAAAAATTTTTTTTATTATTCACCGCATGAGGATCTGTGTAACTAAAGATCAAGGTAAAAATATTTTAAAATACGCGATGTCTATCTTAAATTAACAATATTAATATTCTCAATACTAATAAAATGGTTTTGTCTGAATAATGAATCAGCGCTCCTTTTCTTCTAAGATTTTAAAGTCGAGCATGAATTATTGTGCAATGCTGTTAGTGAATAATCTTAAACAAAAAAAGAAAAATATTTGAAAGTACAAACTAGATCAAATTACACTCGTGATAAAATTCAATAATTTACTATGGATTATATATGTCATTTCTTCTTATCATATGGATTATTTTTTGTATCTTAGAAATTTTGTAATAAATATTTTTTTCATTTGAGAATATAATCTCGTTAAATTAATTGCTTGAACTGGATTTATACTTAGGGAATACAAAAATCAGTGACGCCGATACTTTAAGTCTTATACAAGACTGAAGGAAATTTTCTTTCTATGTATATATCGATAGTTGAAATCAAGCTCTGTAATTCTATAATAGTTCATCGAACTTCATGTGATATGAAAATATTGAACACATAACAAAAATAGTGACAACTTGACGAGGAAAAAAAGAGACAAGTTTAGAAGTTTTTATTTCAACAAATATTCGAAGTAATCATCCTGCTTGTTTACATATAGGTGGATTCGTTGGATTAATTTGTCCAATATTTGTCTTAAGTATCCGTCTTTTTTCAACGATTTTATAAGCTTATTCACAATATCATGCAATGTTTTGAAATCGCCCTGATTGCTAAGATTTAATTTGATCAAGTCAAATTACCCAAAATCGTATGGCACGCGATCCAGAGAATTAGATGAGTATGGAATTATCGTTATACCTTCCGATTCAAGATAAATGAGTACATCCTCATGCTTATGTGGCCTTTCATTATCGTAGTGAGATTTACATACATGGACACCAAAAAAGGAACCATTGGTTTTTGATCGAGGTAACAAAGTTGTGTAAACAATAATTGATGTAACATTAGCGATCGATAATTTGTCCTCAATCAACATAATGAATGAGTGTGGGGTTCTGGTGTAAATGGGTGTGCGTGTGTCTATGGGTGTAAAAGAATGAAATCAAACCTACACCCCAAAATCTTCCTAGAAATACGAATACGAAATATTTTTTGATGACAAGTACTAAACTTTTCACAAAGACAGCGATATTTATCATCATTTCTAGTCAATAAAAAGGTACTGAAATATTATTTTTATTTGCATTTTTTCCAACTAAGAACTTCGAGCACCAATAATACAAAGCAACACAAGTATGTGCGCGTAAAAAACATAAGAAAAAAACATTTGTTATGCACACATACGTATATAAGAATAGAAAGTCGACAAACAATAAAATATATGAAACATCGAACAAACAATACACTGTTTTACTCATGTCAAGAGCAAGGATCAAGTTAATGAAAACGAACAAATGAGAATATTTTATCAATCAACGAACAAACAGTATAGCATTACTGTTGTGTGATCAAATAAACATATTTATGTACAAATATAAAAGAAAAATGCTTCCAAGTGTGCAAGACAACGCAAAGAGCTTTTGCAACTAATCCGAACGTGAATTCCTGAAAAATTAATGGGAAAAGGAGAGAAAAAACAAATAAAATATAAATTGAGTTTGTTTTCAATTTTCACTTCTTATGCCGAGAAAAGAAACATTTTATCATACTACAAGAGATGTAGATGTTTGATTAGTAAAACAAAATAAATCTAAAATACTGCTTTTTAATTGATTTACATTATATTCAATAATAGCTTGTTTTGTCAGTGCTTTCTCATGTAAAATACATATTAATGCTAGATGATTATTAATCTCTTTGAGATAAAGTGCTCGACCACTAGTTAACTTTATAACACTTGATGACATTGAATCAAATACATCTGATGTAGGTTCATTCCTCGTTTCAGTTATTGATGAACATGAAGTTCTCACCGGTGTTGTACTTAATGAGCCTAATAAATGAAGAAAGATTTGCTGATATTTTTTGCAAATTCATTTCAATATCTTACTACTTGAATATGAGTTCATTGATTCATGAATCCCATTCACAAGAGATTCATTATTTATATTATCATCAATAGCTTCAAAAACATTATCATTTGATCGTCCATATATTTGACTCATATTTATTTGTAAATCAATCATATTACAGCATACTTCATACATCTTAGCAAAATCAAAAAAAATAAATTATTAAGACTTTTTTCTTTTTCTTGTGGAAATTTAAACTTACTTGTATATCAGTTGGTGATGAATCAGTTGCAATACTTATTTTTGTTTGTATATCAAATAAAAATGCTTGTTCCATATTTGATGCTGATATAAGATAATTGAGCAAATCTTCTAAATAATTAAATTGTGGTGATAATTTTTGTATAACTTTTGAAAATGCTTCAAATATTGAATGATCAAATATGGATGTTAGATGAAAATTTATTAATACACTCTGAGAATTTAGACTTGATCCAAACGATATTAATGGCCATGAATCTGTTCCATTATTTAAATCAGTGAAATGATCTCTTACCTGAACAAAAATGAAAATTATCGAAGATTTCAACAGATTATCTGGTATTCATGCAATCTTATCTCGGAATCAACGACAATAATGGAAACGAGAAATATTAGAAGGGATGTCTAGAAGATCATTAACCAGTGTGAAGGAGAAGCAATGAAATCCAAATTTATTGCTTTAAAATTAAGCATTTGTTTGTAAAATCAGCTGTTATTCTCAATGAGAGAGAATACGGAATCCTAACATTGTGAAGTGTGGGTATCTTCTCAAAATCAAATGAACAAAGTCCAATTGAAAAAGAATTATCAATACTTATATCATTGGTTTATCGATGAGATATCTTTTCATGAACATGAAAAGGTATTGACTTCAGTGCTATAATTAGTTTCATTGAGATTTGTTATTTATACGATGAAATAGAAGCTATAATAAATACTTTTCATAAACCGTTCTAGATTGAAATACATTTCTGTCTTCATTTCATCATTTTCTTTGTCATTTAATAATGTATCCGCTTTTGTAGAGTCCAAAAACTCCAAGCAAGCGTATCGATGGAGCAGTTCCATGAGAAGTCGATCAGAAAAAAACACGAAGTAGTTGAAAAAGTTATTGTTTTTCCATCAGACTTTGTAGAGCTTTTTTCGCTGATTATTTTAATCAAATAACTTTTTGAATTTTATGAAGAAATGACAATATTATAGTCAATATACTAAACACTATAAAATAGCTTATAAAGTGATTTTTTGTGATAAATAAAAATGAAAAGACGATTCATATATATCAAAATGGGTATATTCTGGAAAAATGTGATCTCGTAGGTTATGTAGAGGAAAATTTGCTCTACAGGATTCCATAGTCGGTTTTTCATTTACATTCGAGAAGTGTCAATAAATCTCAATAGAATATTGTACACGATATGCATATGGAAAACATATGGTATCTTCTGCTTTTACGATAAATATTGTACGTGATGTTCTATCGAGATTTATTGATCTTTCTCGAATGTAAATAAGAAACCGATTATAGAACCATGTAGAGCAAACTTTCCTCTACACAACTTACGATATCACATTTCCCCAGAATATATCCATTTTGATATATACGAATCGACATTTCATGTTCATTTATCACAAAAGAAATCACTTTGTAAGCTATTTTACAGTTTTTAATATTTTGACTATAACATTGTCATTTTTTAATAAAATTCAAAAAGTTTTTTGATCAAAATAATCAGCGAAAAAACCTTTACAAAGTCTGATAGAAAAACAATTAACTTTTTTGAAATAATTTGTATGTTTTTGTGATTGACTTCCCCTGGAATTGGCCTATTATTCTGAAAATTTTCATCGAATGCGTAAGGAAAAGAAATATATATACCCATGATAGGGAAAGTCTTTAACTGCGGCAACGAGAGATTGTACCAAAAATGTAATAATTATTTTTATCAACATAACAGTCTGGATCGTAACATTCTGACAAACTACTACAAGACGACCTTTTCTTGCTAAGCAACTATGTCCCAGAAGTTCCGCCAGACGTTTCCATTGGCGTAATAATGGCATACTGATACTTAGTAAAGAATATCTGCTGATATATCTGTCCTTGAAATAATTACGAATAATATATTTACTTCACAAAAAATCATCATTAATGTACTATTATATTGAATCTGTTTATATTCAAAGAATATTTTGAACAAACTAAATAGCTTCTAAAATTTCAAAATTTTCTATATTTCATATTTTTTTTTCGTACCTGATTATGAATATCTCGTTGAGCATCTATTTTTTCTTCTTCT